ATGAAATAATTTTCTTATTTTAAAATATAAAATTTAATATTAAAAACATAAATTAATACAACAAAAAAAGGTTACCTTCTTCTCCATTTGTATCTTGTACTTCTGTTTTCACCTGTTGTTTTTGCTGATTAATTTGATTCTGCCTTGATGCAACAACATCTGGCATAACAGCATCAATAAGGGACAAGGATTCAACCATTCTTTGTTCAGTGCCATCTTCACCTATTGATATTTCTGCTTCTGTATATTGCAAGCCTTTTTGTAAGATTGATAAAAGTGCTGCAGGTGGTACTAATGCTCCATTTATATTACTTTGTGATATATGTGATTCTATGCCAAATGTATATGCAGAATGTTGGAATCCTATAAAAAAATTACGTAAAGATTAGCTTAGAAATATGATATAGTATAAGCTAAATAAATATACTCAATAATTTTGTAAATAACATCATGAATATGCTTTTATTTGTATTCAAATAAAAATCACTTACACTTTTTAACAAGTTATTAACTAATATGATGCTATTAATTGCAATCATTATCGTGTAAAATATATACCCATTATGTAAGAAATCTATGTATACAAACAATAGGAATTCAAATTATTTTGGAATTATTTTAAAAGAGGTTATGAAACACTCCAAAGGACATACCGGACTCTTGAAGGTATCGGTAAACCAAGAAATTCACTTCATCGCTAGAAAAGCTCATCGTTCTTAGCTTTCACGATACTAGCACAACATATTTATGGGAAGTTGTGCTAAAAAATTATTTTGATTCACGCCAGACGCCGATACTTGCCGCGTCCAGGCCGCTATACAGGAAGAATAGAGATATGTACGCGCAAGACCTTACTGGTTACTGGTGTGTTCTAAAAAGATACACTGTGTAACTTCAATGTGATTCCATCTTATTTTTGAACTACGTTAAGACAAGGGATAAATTATTAGAATTGATTCATATAATGTTTCCAAGTGTATTATATAAATTATATCAGTGCATTTGTGTAATGACATTTAATAATTGACAATATATAATTACATTCAATACTTCATTGAATAGAATAGTTTGTAGTTAAAAATAACTTATGTATACTATAACAGTAAACATTGCGCATTGTTAATAGAAGTATCTAGTATTTCAATAATGAATATCATTTGTAGAAAGGTATCGGTACGTTTACGACATTTAACAGTATTTACAACAAATTCAATACTTAGAAGAGGTTCGTATTCTGTTACCAGCAGATATATTTTTATATGTCTTCTAAATATAAGTTAAATTCAAAATGTTATTGATGCGAGGTTAGTTTGAATCATGTTAATTTTCATAATCACTTATTTGTAGCTTTAGATGTTATATATATTAACATTTGAAAGGCTTTCGCTTATTGCTCCTATTAATTTTTATTTGTGATCAATTGTTATTGTTATTGTTCAATTGTCATTTGTTAGCATCAATTGTTACTAAACGAATAAAAATATGAATTTGAAATAATAATTTGATTAGTTGACAAGTATATATACTTTATTCTTCCTTGACTTTACTTATTTAATTTTTAATATGAACAATATATCAATGTCTAGCATCATGAACATACTAAACACATCATAAAATATATTGTATTACAAAATATGCGTACATAGTAACGAAATTAGCCATGTAAATATATTGTTAATACACATGCAAATTTATATTTCGAACGTTTCCACATATTAGAGATATTTTTTTCCTTTTAGTTGTATGTTTCAATAATTAAAATATTCCACTTTTACTGAACTTGATTTTTAATTTTGTTCATAATTCTTTTAATTTTTAATTTAATCATATTTTTCTTTATATGTTTCTTGACAAAAACAATTTGTTTATTTACGTTATTTATATGTAATGCAAAAGATATTGTCATACTATTTGCACATTTTTTTAAAATACTTAGCAGCTAATTTAAAAACATTGATGTTTATATTGTATTTCTAATAATGTTATGTTTGTCATTTAAACTAATCATTTATAATTATTTTTTATTTCACGACTATACCTTATTGTACTATTTGTTATACAATTTTTATTTATAACGTACATATACCCATTTGGTAAACCATACATTTTCTAGTAACCTATGTAAACATTTTTATTAATTCTCCATAAATAAAATGTAAGTTTATATTAGTATGTTCACTGCGGATTGTCAGCTCAGAGGCTTTAACACGATACCCCTCCCTTCCCCCTCTGAGAATGTGGCGTACGCCGAAAGTCAAAGATCAGCGAAACGTGACTATGATTGGTTATTACTTGCTTATTGAGACATCCGAGTTTCTTCTGAACCAGTAAAGTCATTTGAGCTGACAAAATCAAGAAATAAATCGCCTGCGACTCACGTGTCCTTTGCATGCATAGAAAAATCCACGTTTTATAATGCCCGCCCTTGACGCCGATCGACGTCATCCACATGAACATATTAATTCTATTGTGAAAATAATTAGTCGTTATATATTACATTTGTTGCGTCCTTAGTCACCTTGTATACACAAATAATTTTACAGTTTTTAAAATCGTGAAAAGATGCTATTACCTTTTTCAATATTTAAAATAATTGAAAAATCGTATGTTACATTATTGTGAGTATATCTAATTAATTTTTTACTTGTAGTTCATTATAGTAATTGCACATATTTTATGCATTGAAGTTGCATTTGTATTCAATTATGCTTCTTATTCGACTTGATACATTTTAGTATTAAATAATGATGTATATACTTTTATAATTTTTTTATTTTGTTTAATTGTTATATTCTGAAAACACCTAACGAGATATTTAAAGCACAATAATTTATTTATTCAGGAGTTTCTTATTTTTAATTGTATCGTTATATCTGTGTTAAATATAAAGTAAGTACATCATACCCGCATTTACAAAAATAAAAGAAATAATTTCTTAAAGTTGCTACTAATTTTTAATTACTTAACAGATGCAATTTCTGATTGAAAAGTAACCTAGACCTATTTAACACGTTAATCGAATTTTCCATTATTTTTTCAAATATTATTTCATCTGTAGCTAATAGTGAATAAATACAACATTAAATTTAAGAAAATTAACGATACGAAACAATTAATCAATCTTTCACTTTAATAGTTTTGATTTTCTTTATAAGAATCTTTTGAAAGTTCCATTTATATAATTCTTGTACAATTATTCAGAACATTAATTTTATCGTATGCTAACTAAAAATTGGAAAAAAGCCAAATTCTAAGAATTAAAAAGAAATGCAAGTCTTAAAAAATTAATAATTTTATTGAGTTTTGCAATTTCGTATGTAACTATTGAACACTTGAACATATTTAATTTTGAAGATGAGTTTCCCACTTTATTTAGAATATATGTATAGGTAAAAATGATGGAACAACCAAATGATTCATAATAACTTTCTGATATGTTTACAATTTTTTTTAAATGCTTATAAAATGCTTATAAAATGCTCACTGTTTATTAATATTAAAATACTAAAATAGTTCATTGTAACGGAAAATCTTCGATACGTTAGATTTTTTATTTTTTTATTATACGATGTATCAAGCATGGAAATATTAAATAATTTTATAAATTAATAACATTTCCTTAGTATTTAAATATAGCATATACTGCATATGTATGTTATTTTTATACGTTTCACATTGTCTATAAAACTGTATACTCTAGTCCTATCGCCTAGCTTTTCTCTATGGAAGCCACGTACATATATGTATGTATACTGCAAAAGGGTAATTATTAAATCTGCACGCCAGAAAAGCTGATTGGTTAACTCAAGGTCACGAAGTCTGATCGCCCATGCCTCAAAGGAACAAGCGGCAGTGCCGCTTCTGTTCTCTTGGTGTATGGTTACGTAGATGTGAGAAAAACGCGGCAAGCACTCTGTGTTGTTTTTTTTTGTTGCAAAAATTGCTATTATTACATTTTTCCTGATTTGTTTTAAGGTTCAAGTAAAAATATGACTGTGGAAATCGATAAAGAAGAATTAAAAAAGCGGTTAACGCCGCTGCAGTGGCATGTCACGCAGGAAAAGGGTACAGAGAGGTACGTGTCCCGAATTTAATTTACTTATTACGGAATTAGGCATGAATTATATCATTCTTACCTATTTTATAAGCTGCACACATGCGTTTATTTTTGTATTTTTTTTTAAGCTTTTCGTACTTCTATAATGTGGTTAAGATTTTCTTGTATACATTACTTTTCTGTAGCTATAGAAAATTACATACATATAAACGAATAAAACTTCGTGAAATTCAGAAATTTTAATAGAAATTTAAATAATGATTGCATATTCATAAAATATGTAATACACAACTTATTAACAATTTACTTTTATAACTTTTGTATTTTATAATGTTACGAAAGTAACACTACGATTCGCAAATTCGATTTATCGGTTTTCATTTTTTAACTAATTTTAGTTAATAATGTCATATTATTAAAATTTGAATTGCATACTTTCATGTAAATTGCAACATTCACACAGTACAGTTTTCCAAAAATATTATCTATATAGTGGAAACTGGTTTACTTTTAGGTGATGAGACAAAAATAACTTTTTCAAGAGCATGTGTTAGCTTGACTTTGCGTCATGACCAAGTGGTTTAAAAATAAAGTATAGGTTTTCACAAGTAACTTCCTACTATACATATTCTCCATGCTTCCAATTTTTTGTTTTTATATACAGGCCTTTTACTGGATGTTACAATAAATTCTATGAAAAAGGCACATACACTTGCTTAATTTGTGACCAAGAATTGTTTTCTTCTGATACAAAGTACGACAGTGCCTGTGGTTGGCCTGCATTCAATGAAGTATTGGATCAGGGACGAGTCAAGTTAACCAAAGATACTTCACACGGTAAGTGAATATGTGAATTTTAATTTTACTGACAACTTTTTTAGAATTATGCTCGGATGTTTAGCAAAATAACACAGTATTTATTACTCTTCATATCATTTTACATTTATCAAAAGTGATTGCTTAAGTGGTACAGAGATAAACTTTCTATAATAAAACTTATTTTACATGTGATAATATTGAATGATATTTTGGACTTCAAAGTTTTATCTGTTTACCATTTGACCATTCCTTATCATTTCTTACATTCACTCTATCACAAAATTTTTCCTAAACTCTTAGTTCTGCTTCTCCTAAACCTTCCACAATACATTATATACTTTTATTAAATTTTTTTAATATTTTATAAGTA